TGCTTTGGGTTCAGATTGGAGGTGAGGAAATATATAATGTCAAAAATGAAATTATTACATTGGTACCCAGCTAGTGGACCTCCCATGATCCTGAAATTACGTCCAAGGATGGACCTTGTTTGTGAGAAGGGAAGTGGCTCAGTAGGAATCACAAGTGGGTTAACCCTTTATTTCAGTAATTAGAGCACTTACATGACATGTGACAGGTTCAGTTCAAATCTGATAGAAGGAAATACATATCTTGAAAAAGTAAATTACCACAACATATAACACAAATCAAATTATTGTGAGGTATCCAACTTGAGAAATTCAAAATATTACTCCTATTTATCCAGAAATTACTCTTAACTGTGACTGTTTGTCAATCAACATTTATGAATTTGATGTAAGATTAATGTTGTTGAAATACATTTGAACTGTCTGGTGTGTTTTCTTAGTTAAATAAAAAATTTGTTTAAAAAATATTACTGTGAAGCTATGAGTATATTTTTTACTTAAATTGGAAATTAAAATAATGTCTTTTTAATAGAACCTGACAAAAACTATCAATTTTTTCAGAAAGGAAGCTTTATGTAAAATTTAAAACTCATATTAATTGATATGTATGTATGGACTTAACTACTTTCATCGTCTTGGTTCTCACTTGAAACATTTGCTTTGAAACATTATTTGTTTAGTTTATAACATATATTCACATTTTTACTCTCATATCCATACCACTCAAGATAATGTCTTTTAAGCATTTCTCATTTTGTCTTTTCTTCTTCTCATAATCAAGACAAACCAAGTCCTCCACAAGGACCTCTTGACTATCCTTCTACTACTAGCTCAACTGTAACCCTTCAGTGGAAAAAACCAGAAGATGATGGAGGTTCTGCAATCACAGGTAATTGTTGTGCAGGAATAGTTAGGACAGTTTGTTATGTTTTCACTTCTAGAGTTAACAGGTAGTAGTCATCTCAATACTTTGCACAAGTAACTGTGTTTTATGTTTGCATGTATCTCCGCATGGGCCAAACAAACCTTCTTGCCAAGTTTGGTGAAGATCCATTTACACCCTGTGAAGTAGTTACATGGACATATAACAGACAGTACTGTTATATTTATATAGATTTGCTATCACATGACTATAAAAAAAATTAAAATAACCTTCCTGTTTCTAGTACACTACTGTAAATGACAAGTCTTGTGGCAACTTTTGTATTGTTTATATTACACGGTGAGCTAAGCATAGCCTAGTGGGTTAGTGTGTCAACCTGTACAGGTGAGGTTTGGGGTTTGCATTCCATTACTTTAAAAAAAGAGAGAATTATGCTCTGCACTTGGAACCATGAGTGAATTATAAGTGTGATGGTCAAATCCCACTATTTGTTCTGATAAAAGTAGTTCAAATGTGTGTGGGGATAATATTAACTATATAGGTATGGGTATTGCAGATAGCCCTTTAGTAGCCCTCAAACAAAAGAACAATACAAGACTTGTCTCTGTTTCATTTGAATATTTTATATAAGATATAGAGCAAAATCTGATTTAAAAAAGGCACGATGTTGTACTTTATCTTCCATGGTGATAATTAGAATTAGCACAAACTAATTTATTTGTATATGTTTATATAGATATAAACACAGACAACAGAGGAAATACATTTTCACTGATGTATTATAACTATCAGTATTATTATTAATGGAATGTAATGATGATCAGTATTGTTGTTACTGGAGTATTATTGTTGTTGTGATGTCTGTAGATCAAAACTAATGATAAGTGTTATTTTGTTTTGTGAAGGTTACCAAATTGAAAAGTGTGAGGTTGGTAGTGAAAAATGGGTTACTGTACCTGGGTATTGCACCACCACCACCTTTACGATAAAAAATCTTGATGAGGGAAATCAGTACAAGTTTAGAGTTCGTGCTGAAAATATATATGGAGTCAGCAAGCCCCTGGAAGGAAAACCTGTCACTGTCAAGAATCCGTTTGGTACAGTTTACATATAAGTAGAAAAATTGTGTCCACTCAGTTTATATTTTACAGTTAGAGTTTTCTTCAAGTAAAATTTGTTAAAGTTTTTGTATATGAAATTTATTTATGTAGACATTTTTTCATATATGTAGATTAAACACAGAATAAAAGTAAAATATATCAATCTGTGATAATGATTCAAACAATATTTTAAGTTTTATTATGTATAAGAAGTAGAAATACTAAATCCGGACTTGGTTTATTCATTTCAGAAACTCCTGATGCCCCAGGTCAACCAAAGGTCACTGATTTTGGCCCATCCTCAGCTGATCTCACATGGAAGCCCCCCACTAATGATGGTGGCCGACCAGTTATTGGTAAATTGTGTATTTTATTTTTCATTAATATTTTCATATCATTGAATTTGTAGAATATATAATTGCTTAAAAGTAGTCTATTTTCAAGTATTACTAGAATACTTCTACATTTATATCAAAATGGTTTTATATATAACTAACCACATCTAATCTTACAAGTTCAAAGTATTATAACAGACTTTCTTATAAGTCCTGAAAAACTTAGTACTGACTTCATGACTTAATAGTCACTCTTTAGCAAACAAATTTCTTCCATGGAGCACATCTTTTTATTTATCTATATGTAAAGAAAACAGCAAACAGTTTCAAAAAAACAATGTCATCAGAGGCAAACAGTTTGGAAAGGAATTATATGTATTTCTGCTGTAATGCCTGGGTCAGTCACTTAGTAATACTAGAGTAATAAGAAGTGGAATCAAGTTCCATTGTGGCCACTTAAGCAAGCCATAGAATAAACACAGATCATACTTACCTTTAATTTTGAACCCAGTATGAATTAATGATGGAATAAACACAGATCATACAGACTTTTAACTTAGGTCCCAGTGTGAAGCAAATGATTGAATAAAGACAGATCATACAGGCCTTTAATTTTGGTCCCAGTGTGAAGCAAGTGATTGAATAAAATCAGATCATACAGGCCTTTAATTTTGAACCCAGTGTGAATTAATGATGGAATAAACACAGATCATACTTACCTTTAACTTTGTTCCCAGTGTGAAGTAAGTGATAGAATAAACACAGATCATACAGACTTTTAACTTTGGTCCCAGTGTGAAGCAAATGATAGAATAAACACAGATCGTGCAAGCTTTTAATTTTGATTCCAGTATGGAGTAATTGATGGAATAAACACAGGCCATACTTACCTATAACTTTGTTCCCAGTGTGAAGTAAGTGATAGAATAAACACAGATCATACAGACTTTTAACTTTGGTCCCAGTAGTGAAGTAAGTGATGGAATAAACATAGATCATACTTACCTTTAACTTTGTTCCCAGTATGAAGTAAGTGATAGAATAAACACAGATCATACTTACCTTTAACTTTGTTCCCAGTGTGAAGTAAGTGATGGAATAAACATAGATCATACATACGTTTAACTTTGGTCCCAGTGGACAGTTTTGTGTCTAAAAACATATTCATACACATTCTACTAGGTTATATTATTGAGAAGAGAGAAAAAGCCTCATATGACTGGACAGTGGTGAATTCTCATCCCACTCCAAGTACCGAATTCACTGTGCCAAACTTAGCAGAAGGACAGAGCTATGAGTTTAGAGTTTTAGCCGTTAATGAAGGTGGACGAGGGAAGCCCAGCAGGCCAACCCAACCTATTGTAGCTAAGGAAAGGAAATGTATGTTGGATTGTTTTTTATTTAGTTTGCAATATAAGATTTGTTTTACTAAACTACACTAAGAAATATAGGTATTAGTGGTGTAAACCTGAAATATTTAACCTTTAGATTCCTTGTAACCTCTTTCTTCATGTGATATAATGTGTGTAGATTCCTTGTCTTCTCTTTCTTTTTGGTGTAAAATCTGTGTAGATTCCTTGTCTTCTCTTTCTTTATGTAGTATAATCTATGTAGATCCCTTATCTTCTCTTTCTTTATGCTGTATAATCTGTGTAGATCCCTTGTCTTTACTTTCTTTATGCTACATAATCTGTGTACATCCCTTGTCTTATGTTTTTTTTATGCTGTATAGTGCGTGTGTTGATCCCTTGTTTTCTCTTTATTCATGTTATATAATGCTTGCAGATCCCTTGTCTTCTGTTTTTTTTATGCTGTATAATGTGTGTAGATCTTTTGTCTTATCTTTCTTTATTCTGTATAATGTTCATAGATCCCTTGTCTTTTCTTTCTTCATGTCATTTATTGCATGTAGATCCCTTGTCTTCTCTTTCTTTATGCTGCATAATCTGTGTAAATTCCTTGTCATCTCTTTCTTTATAACATAACATAATAATATAACATAATGCTTATTGACAACAAGGGCCCATCTTGGCTGCCACATCCTCTAAACTAAATTAAAACTATTAAATAAAAAAAGTAAAATTTTAAAGCCAACCGTATCATTTACATAGTTATCAAGCTTTCTCTTAAACTCACTTAAATTTACTGTCTACACAACATCTGAAGGCAACCTATTCCAAAGTCCAACCACCCTTTCGAAAAATGAAACTTTGTTAGCTGAAGGTGACTCCTACCCTGCTAAAATTTATATTTGTGTCCCCTCGTTCTACTATTCTCACCATTAAGTATGGAAAAAGATGATGCATCAACATTATCAATTCCCTTACCAATTTTAAACACCTCAATCAAATACCCTCTAATTCTTCTTTTTTTTAAGAGAAAACTATTTCAGAGATCTTAACCTCTTCTCTTGTGGCAATCCCTCAATCCCAGGCACCCTCTTCTGAACCCTTTCCATCAATTAAATCCCCTTCATAAGGTAAGGATCCCAATAATGAAAACAATACTCTAAATGTGGCCTAACTAGTGACCTATACAGTGAAATTATAACATCTTTAGACTTGTATTCAATATTTTTGTAGATACAACCTAAAATTCTATTTGCCCTACCACTAGCAACAGCACACTGCTTGGATGGCTTAATAGACTAATCAACAATTACCCCAAGATCCCTTTCTTTCATAACACTGTTGAGGTTATTCCCATCCAAATTATACTTATAATTCAAATTATGATAACACTCTTTTTTATGCTTTCATTAGTACCTAGCTCTTAAGTTAATTCATACCTTTTTATGCTTTCATTAGTACCTGGCTATTAAGTTAAATAGCACTTTCTTAAGCTTTCATTAGGTTCATACAAGATATTCCTCCATTCTTTTTTTTTATTTCTTTATAATCCAGAAAGGTTGAGTATTGTTTTAACACTTTAATTTTTATTGATTTTCTCTTATTTTGATTTATTGATTATCAGCTTCAGCGAAGTTTTTTTGTTTGGGCTTTATAGATGCTCCAGATTCTCCTGATATGCCTCGTATAGATAAAATCACTAGAAACTCAGTAACTCTCTCTTGGAAAAAACCAGTTCATGATGGAGGAAGCAAAGTCAATGGTTATCTTGTGGAGAAAAAACCCAAAGGAGCCAAAGAATGGGACATTGTCAACACATCACCACATCCTGACACCACATACACTGTATGTATATCATCTAATACTTTACATGTTTGTGTAGCCTAAATTTCATCTACTAGAAGATGCAAGTTATCAACAAAATGCATTATCTACCTTTTATGATAAATTTGTGTTTGATGTAACTGTTAACACTTTTGCTATTGGTATCTTTTTCTGTGCACATCACAAGTTTCTAGTGAGATATATTCAAAATTTAATTAAACTATTTCATATTATAATATACAAATAAATTTGTCATAAAAATGTAGCTAATAATCAAATTTTAATATTATATAAGTTTTAAGTTTTTAATTTTATAAGGCAATATTAACAACAATCCTGAATTTCCCCTACTATGAGAATTGTGACATTGACTCTCTAGGTATCACCTCTTCTCTAATTCATTTACCACCCCTCTGATAAGTACAAAATTTAATATAAATTACTCATTATAATGTTGTCATCACACAGACAAAGCATAATTTTTATATCTTTCAATCTTATTTGGTTACAAAGCAATTAAATAGAAAATTAAACTCCTCTTGCCATGTGCATCTGTCAAATCTTTTAGAAATTGCCAATAGTTCTCTCTGATGTGTAATACTATATTACTTATAATCAATAGAAAGCCAAGGTTTTATTTTGTCAAATGACATATTATACTATGTTCTTTCTGTACATAAAACTGTCTATTTTATTTCTAGTTCAAGCTTTATTCCCATGGGAAATGCATCAATGAGCTTAGCTGAATTTTTAATGGCCAGAAAAACTGTGATAGTTGTGAGATATTGTCTATGTTTTGCATGTTATTATTCTGTGTTCTTTGGTATTCAGTTAAATGAAAAATTATTTAGTGTAATAGTACAATTAGTATCAAAAAGTGGTGTTAAGTGTCATCAGAAGATGACAGCAAAAAAAAAGTTGAATGAGGTAAGAACTTTATTTATTATTATAAAAGTAACTAAAATGTAAAAATTAGAAACTTTTTAGATTAGTGAAGGTTAGGTTAGGTAAAATAAATAATAATAATAATACTAAATGTCTTTGAGGTATGCTCACAAACAACTAACGAGTAGCCTGTGCATTATGTAATTCCTTAGGGTAATGTGAGCTATGCATTCACCAAGTGATTTACAATTTGTATGGTGTTAATATTAGTTAGACATGGTTCTAAGGGCAATAAAATAATAAAATTTAAATATAAATAGATGTGTACTGTTGCAAGTTTAAAGCTATTTAGGATAAGCAAATGTAGTTTCATGCTACAATTTGAAATTATTCTAGAAAGAAAAAAGGTAATTTAGATTTTTTTGAATTTTTTTTGTGGTTACGAGGTTGGTCAAATTGACCAATGTTGTATAGAGTTCGGGTAGATAAAATAACAGATAGAATATAAAGTTTTATTGAAAAAAGCATTTGAAATTTATTTAGAAGGTTTCAGAAATTATCAGGTGAATAAAAGTATTTCTAACCTCAACAGGAAAATCACTTTGCATCCAGAGCAGTCAACACTTTGACTCCATATATTCATGTAGAAAGTTTTAGTGAAAATACTTCATTAAAGATTCTGATTTTTGTCTACAAACGACTCTTTAATGATTACTGAAAGCTTGTGAAATGTTGTCATGATTCACAAAATGTATTAGAAATTATAGCAGAAAAACTGTAAAGGTTAATTTTGGGTCACAAATTCGGCTGATTTGACTGAAATAAAATAAAAATTGAAGTGAACAGATTGGAATTTTAAAAGTTATCTAGAACTGCAAAATAACTTTAATCTTGCAACATCTTACATAGTGTTGAAGATGAGGTTATGAGATTATTTTGAAAAATGGCTAAAATAATATTCTGTTCTGTGACAACATTTTTATTTCAGTCCTACAACCAAACTTTAGCTCATTTCATTTGTTATTGACATAATGTAATGGAAGAATAAGCTCTTTAGGTTTCCCTTGCTTGACACTAAACCAACATTTCACCCTGTATGAGCATAATGTAATGGAAGGGTAAGCTCTCTAGGTTTCCCTTACTAGACACTAAACCAACAGTTCACCCTGTATGGACATAATGTTATGGAAGGATAAGCTCTTCAGTTTTCCTGTGCTTGGCACTAAGTCCAAATCTTTCTTTATATCAACATTGTTGGACATACAAGACTGTTTAGTGTAGGTGTTATTATTTAATTTATTTTGTAAGTCAATAATTAATTATTGTTTCATAAAAAGAGTGTTTAGAAAAGTTAATAATTTTAAAGGTGATAGTTATGACAAGTTTGGTTGCGTAACTCGGTAAGATTCATACGTTGTGTGTGGTTCAGTTGTTGTAGTATTGTTGACGTCAAGTTACTCGAATTTTAGGTTCTTTTCTCATTACCTTAAGTGAGTATTGTTACAATATAGTGCTGCTCGCATAGTTTAGAGAAAGTTCTAGGCCTCAGTGAATAACATATAAATATAGGTGGCCAAGCGAGCGCAAGTAAAGTGAAGTACAGTTCAGTCAGAAAATTAGTTAGCGAAAGAAATTGTGAAGTTTGTCAGCATGTGAATGATTAGGTGTAATAGCCAATATTTGAATGTGAGTTTCACAGTTTAATAGAGATAAGGAGAATAATTTGTCTTGTCAAAGGGTGTTCTAAAGTAATTGAACACATCTGTATGGACTTTGATGAAAAGGAGACAATTATTTAAAGTTTGAGATACAGCTGTGGTAACCCTCGGGATAATGTAAGTGAATTTATAGCAGATTGTACGGTAAGACACAGAGTACATAAAATAATTCATCTTGTCAGTTGGATTCTAAAGTAATTGTATTAAACTGTTTAGACTTTTGAAAGGAAGAGAGAAATATTTACAGCTTTAGATACAACTGTAATATCCTTTGGTGTAAAGAATTTTTTGTACATACATTTGACTTGTTTTGAATATATTATTTTAAAACAAGTGGATTGTGTGCTGTCCATTTATTGTTGTCATTTATTGCCAACAAGTCACAGACACCTACTGTAAAGAATCCTCAGCCCACTCATACTTAAAACCCTAACATATGGCAAGGCAGCTAGGATTATACAGTGGTAAATGGCTGTGAAAAAAAAAGAGGATGTGATCAACAGAGTAAATAAGTAGGCATATGTACACGCAATGGTAGTGGTGGCGAAAATAGTATAGAGATTACAATCACGCTATATAACCATGTGAACAGATTTTGATAAATGGATAGGTAAGTGTCTTAGGTTAAAAGACAGTGAACAATGAGAGTTTGTTAAACAGCAACAAGAACTATACAAAGAGAAGAGTGTAGGCAGAGAAGAGAGGATAAAAAACACAAGAAGAAAAGTAAAGAGAAGAAAATGAGAGAAAGGAAAGACTCTAGAGAGAGAAAGAATAATAGTACAAAGAGAGAAAGAAGAAAAAGAGAGAGAGGAGAGACTGCAAACAGAGAGAATAAGAGCACAAACTGATAAAGAAAAGAAGGAGAGACAAGATATAGAGAGAATAAGAGCACAAACTGAGATTGACAAGCTCACCCAAGAGAAAGAGGAAGGACCCAAGAATGACAATGGGGTCAGGGCAAGCCGACCCAAGCTGCCTAAGCTTGATGAACATAAAAATGACATGGCTGCTTTCCTGGAGAGATATGAAAGATTTGCCCAAAGTCAGAACTGGGCAGTCTGTCTTAGCCCACTTCTCACAGGGAAAATGCCTACAAGTATATGCAGGTATGACCCCAGCAGATGCCATGGACTATGACAAGTTAAAAGTGGCCTTGCCCTGAAGAATCCTCAGCCCACTCATATTTAAAACCCTGACAAACATAATGTTATTAATATAATAAGATTCAGTGTCTATGTGTGTGTCATGTAACTTCTCTTAAACGATTGGTTGCACCAACTTGTAAATGGTACTAAATGAATCATCTTGGTCCTGAGGTTTGCATAAAGGTAAAATTTTTCATCTCGCTCCTTGGAGAACACAGGGATTTCCTGAAAACCCCTTCTCCTAAACTGCCGGACTCACCAACTTCTAAAAGGGGCCACACGAGTCATCTTGGACCAGAGGTTTGCACAAAGGTATCACTTTTCACCAAACCCCTTTAGGAATACGGGTATTTTGTGAAAACACTTTTACGGGGATTCCCCAAAATTGGACCCCAACTTTGGCATTGATTTATAATAGAGCATTTAAATAAGTAGGAATACTAATTACCATTTGTAACTTGGTTTAAGAAATTATACTTGCATTATGGTGGCAATGATCATTAAACTGAAAAAGTGCAAAATAGTAATTCAAGCATTAAATTTGCATTATAGTATTATAGTAAAGGTAGGCCATAGGACCATGGGTTTGCTAGTAGAAAGATAAGCTTTTCCGATTTCCCTTGCTTGACACAAAACCAAAATTTCACCCCATAATGTTATGGAAGGATCACTTATTCTGGTTCTCTTAGCTAAATCATATGTTTGGATATAAAGTAAATTTTATGTTTTCAAGAAATTGTTTTCCCAGACTGCTTTTTATATTGACTCAATGAATCACTTTTTACTCATAAGATTCAGATATGTTGTACATTTTTGTTATCAGGTACCAAGTTTGATGGAAAGTGAAGAATATGAGTTCCGTGTGATTGCAGTCAATGATGTAGGAGATAGTCCACCAAGTCATCCTTGTTCAATGGTAAAAGTAGAAGACCAACCAGGTACTATTTAGTTTACATTTAAAATCATTCTTTGGCAAAAATGGCTTTCTTTCTTTCTTTTTTAATTCAAGACAGAAAACAGGTACTACACCCTTTTCATTTACAATTAAAAATAAAAATGAGAAATTTGAAATTATGTACAGTTTGATTTGATGGACACCTACATGTACCTGGATATCAAAGTATATTTTTGACTCCATAAGGGATGTATCTCATGTTTTAACATCTCTGAACCTTTTTTTGTATCCTTCATCCTTATGTGCTTCAGGAGGTGTTAAATCGTGTTACCTAGAGCATCTTAACATATCTTAACCTTTTTTATTTGTACAGATATTTTGAGATGCAAGCTGATAATTCAGTGATTCATCCAATATTCTAGATGTGAGCTTATAATTCAATGGCTCATATATTGCTTTTATGGTACAGATGTATTGAGATGTGAGCTGTTACTCAGTGGTTAATCTATTACTTTAATGGTGCAGATGTTTTGAAATGTGAACTATCTACTCACTGATCATTCTGTTAACATGACGATGTAAACATATTACAGCTAGTGACTACTGTTTTTACTGATATGTTTGTCTTTGTTAGTTTCTTGATTATTGCATGTGAAGTGGTTTAATCTGTTTTTCTGACTCTGTTTTTGTGTGTATATTTTTGTCCAATATATTAAAATTTGTGTATATATGAAAACAGATATATAATGTAGGTACGTATTGAGTGTCCTGTAGTTCTTTTTATTCCACATTTGGTGTTTTATTTTTCAGATAAACCAAGAATTGATGCAGGAAATCTTAAAGATATTGTCATTAAGGCAGGTCAAGAATTTAGCCTCAACGTTCCCTTTACTGCTTTTCCTAAACCTACAGCCACATGGTCTAAGAATGACTTTGAAGTGGATGAAAAAGACTCCAGGATTTTCACTAAGGTTTGCTTTTATTCTTTTGTTTTTTGAAATGATTTATAGTCTGGTGGTTGGAGTGCTTGACTTACAATCTGAGGGTCACTGGCTCAAATCCTATCACCTCACACATTCACAATTTTAGCAGTGGGAACATTATTATGCAATGATAAATCCTACTTTACATTGGTAAAAGAGTCACCCAAGAGTTGGTGATAGGTGGTGTAGACAATCTGCCTTCTATCTAGTCTTTCAATTATAAATTATGGATAGCTAGTACAGATAGCCCTTGAGTAGCTTCGGGTGAAATTCAACAAACAAACAAAAAATACTTTATTTTGAACAATCCATTTATTAGGTTGATATAATAATTCTTCTGAAAAAGTTAGTTTTGTCAGCTGAAAACATAACTTTTGGAGGTCTTTAGTGTGTTAGTCATAAAGTTGTTATTCTGGTAAAATGTAAATATATGGCATGCATTATTGAGATTAAAAATATCTTATGTATGTATCTGAATTAAGAGTGATGTTCTTAAATTTGTAAAAAAAGATACCATTTTTGTATTAAAGAGAATGTTCTGTGTAAATCACTCAATAAGTAGATCTTAGATAAGTTCTCCACCATTAACCTTTAGTAAGTAGGTCTTAGGTAAGGGTACACAGTGTTTTCTACCAGTATGCACCTTTAGTAAGTAGACCTAGATAAGTATATTTGTACAATTCTCTTCACCAGCAATCGATTATAGGATGGTAAGTAGTTAAGAAGTAGAATTAAAGCTAAATTCAGATACACAAAAGTGATACATTGTACATGCTAGTATATCGTCTCTTTTTATGAATAATTCTATGTTTTTTTATTCTTGATGTTTTCAGAACTTTGTATTGTTTTTTAACCATGATAGACATGACCAAAATGTCTGGAAGTGTCCAATAATTAATTTGAGTCTTGTATAAAAAATGGATTAGGCTAGAGTTAGTGAATGAGTCTGTTAGAGTGAGTTATTGATTCAGAAATGCTCCTCACCTTTCCACGGAACAGAGGGCTATTACATCATGATGCTGACAAAAACATTTTTGTACACACACCAAACCTGGAACGAAACTCTTGTCCCTACACATATTAACAAGTAATGCACCAACCTATGATGTAATCATTAATAGACTATATCCCTCCACCAGCTGGAGGGTGACACTTTCTCCATGCACAGTAAACCCCAAGTGCACTAATATTTCAACAAAGGCTCATTCTTTTCTTCAGCTCTGCTTTGTTCAAATGTGTTTTTTATTAAGAACTACTGACTTTTTGCACTTATTATTTTAAACTTTCATTAACATTCCTAATGTAGTCTTCTTTACCTTTACTTTATTGATTATGGAGGGGGGGACTAAATATTTCACTTAGAAATTTGATTCAAAATATATTAATTTTATTTTTTTTATTAACCAAATTAAGCAATTTTGGGACACATATTCCAAAGTTTGTGATAAGGTTTCTTTGATGCTACTATTTCCCAGTGTTTTGAATCGAGCTAATGAGTTTTGATAATTAATCTTCAGTTTTGTTATTTCAAGTTACCAAGGCCTGACAACTACCTGATATGAAAGAATGGCTAAGATAATTTGTAAATAAAGAAAAAGTTTTATGGTGTGTCTATACATTTTTTAGTGGTATCTCTGTAATTTTGCTCTTATACAGTACTTGTTATTTCAGTACTTTCACTTCATCCCTGAGAAAGGATTAGCCACTTGTTTAAAGTATTATGTATTTTCTCAGGTGCTCTGTTGTTTGTTGTGGATTAATTGTGTGGGATATTTTACTGAGATATTTAAAATTGAGTGACTCAGTAGTATTTTCATTGTAAACAGAATTTACTCATTTAGTTTTATTAGAAAAGTGCAGAAACCTTGCTTTTCTTGAGAAACAGAAAGCAGTAGTGCATAAAAATACATCTTGCTTTTCTTTCATTATTTTTGTGATTAACAATCTGTAGGTTGGAGAAGACTATGCTATTATAGCTCTGACAGATGCCAAACGATTAGATTCTGGACAGTACAAGCTCTTCCTAAAGAACAAGTCAGGTTTTGATACTGCTTATTGCAAGGTCACTGTTCTAGGTGAGTAAGAGCTTAGTTTTATTTTTTCTCAAAGTTTACCAGTATGTTTTAGACCATTAACTTTTATACAGTAAAATATATAGGAAGATTTGTGTATGGCGTATGAACATTCTGGAGTGATGTTTTATGTTGTACAAACATTCAGGACAAATTAACACTTATGAGTATGGGCCTGTACTGTATGTTCCTAAAAGCTTAATTTGTAACTTACAGATCGACCTGGTTCTCCAGAGAACCTTAGAAGTGAAGATGTTGAGGGAGAATCTCTCACTCTGAAATGGCTTCCACCTAAAGATGATGGTGGAGCTGAAATAACAAACTATGTAGTTGAGAAAAAAGAAGTTGGAGCTAGTGCATGGACAAGGTTCAGTAGCTATGTGACAACCACTGCTTGTCGAGTGAGAAATCTCATGGTAGGACACAGGTATGACTTTCGTGTCATGGCTGAGAACCAGTTTGGAACCAGCGATCCAGTCACTACGAGTGAATCCATTATGGCTAAACTGCCTTTCAGTAAGTACCACATTTTTATCCTGACCCACTTAATTACTAAATATCTGTAAAGGAAATATTCATGTATAAAAACTTTGTGAAAATGTTTTTTCTCCCTCTGTTTATTTCATTGAAAAAAAAATTGGCTGTTTTTTCAGATCCACCAGGTGCTCCAGGCATTCCTCGATCTATTGAATCATCTGAAGAATCCATCACTTTGTCATGGACCAAACCTCGTAGCGACGGTGGCAGTCCTGTCACTGGCTATATACTTGAGAAGCGGAAGACTGGTGATGAGAATTGGACCAGAGCATCCATGGCTGTTATACCAGATCTTACTTACAGGGTTGGTGGACTCACTGAAAACTGGGACTATGAATTCCGTATTTGTGCAGTGAATGAGGCAGGATCTGGTCCATATAGCTCAACTTCTGATAGCATCAGGGCTAGAGCACCTCCAGGTAATATTGGGATTCGGTGATGGGTTTTTAATTAGAGATTAGATTTAGATCACTGTATTTGGAGGTTCGTTTTTTACAATTGAAGATTAATTCTTTGCTAGTGGTTTTTAATATATCATGATTATGTCTTGTGTTATCATGATGTTTTCATAGTCGTGCAACATGAGTGTCAAAATACACATTCACTCTCCAGAGCATTTGGTATTGTAAGTGTTTTATTATGATGGTTTCATACTGATCACTTACAACTGTCAAAATTCAGAGAGCCTGAGAAAGTAAACTGAATAACCCAACAGAGAAATAAAAGAGGCCTGCTGGATTAGTATTTCAATCACTTTTACTCTACATTGTCCTCAATATTAATGATTTTCATCCATTAACTCAAAATATTTCTGATAAATCTTAGAAATATTTCTTATTGTATTTGTAATGCTTTAATTTGTAACTAAATTAAAATTCTTTATCTCTATTTTATAGTTTTTATTTAATATCTATCATTTTAATTTTCTCATTTATAAATGTATTAATATTTAATTTAAATTTATAAACTTCTTAATAATATTTCACTCCTCCAGTTCCTGTATCATTAAGTGCTTTTGTTGATAAATCTTCCAGTTGTTCTAGATGTTACTTATTGCACAAACATGTATTCTTTTAAGCTGTTTTTACTTTAAACTACCATTTTTCTTTATTTCCCATCACTTATACACCATATGCACACAGAGCTGTTTTACAATTTAGACAGATTCTGACATCTGGTACAATGATCACAAATATTTATATATATATATATATTAATTAATTCTTGTATCATCATGATGGTACCATGCTACTCTCACTGTTCAGAGATGCTGGTATTATATTGGTTTTGAAATAGCATCATTATGTTATCAGAATAATGTTACATCAGATGTAGCATGTTATTTTCACTGTCATAATGTTCTAGTATTGTAGGAGTTTTGAAGTAATATGATGATGTCATAAGACATCAGTGACTTGCTACTGTCAGGCTGTTCTATGGTCTTGGTTTTGTGTTTCCATAGGATATGACATTGCACTTTAATGTATCACAGGTTAACTAGAAATGTGACACAAAACATTTATTCTTATTTAGCCATGTAGAAAAGCAAATAATTACATTATAATATGCTAGAATTATAACTTCAACATGATGACCAGTTAAAATATAGTCACAAACCATTTTATTTACCAGTATCTATACTTTTCAAGTGTTTGACTTTATTCTCACTTGCTATGAGTGACGTTATTAGTGATGTGCTGTGTAGTTCCAGTTGTGTCTTGGTTCAGGTGTTTGTGTGTTTGACTTTATTCTCACTTTGCTATGAGTGACATTATTAGTGATATGCTGTGTAGTTCAAGTGTTTGTATGTATTACTTTATTCTCACTTTGCTATGAGTGACATTATTAGTGATATGCTGTGTAGTTAAATGTTTGTGTGTATTACTTTATTCTCACTTTGCTCTGAGTGATGTTATTAGTGATGTGCTGTGTAGTTCCAGGTGTGTCTTGGTTCAGGTGTTTGTGTGTTTGACTTTATTCTCACTTGCTATGAGTGACGTTATTAGTGATATGCTGTGTAGTTAAATGTTTGTGTGTACTACTTTATTCTCACTTTGCTACGAGTGACATTATTAGTGATATGCTGTGTAGTTCAAGTGTTTGTGTGTAGTACTTTATTCTCACTTTGCTATGAGTGACGTTATTAGTGATATGCTGTGTAGTTAAATGTTTGTGTGTATTACTTTATTT